TACAGAGCACCGTGTCCCGTTGTATTGTTATACCCACAGCCGGGCACCGTTGTCTGTCCATACGGCAGTTGGCTCTGCTTCACCAGAAGAGGGTGATGTGTCAAAATGGCGTATGGCAGACTGCGACAAAGGGGATTCCATTTCTGTGTGACTTTAACTTCGTTCGGATCGCCCCACATCAACTGGACGCCTGGAGAAGTGCGAATTCTTTTGATGGATATGGTGGTAGATAAAATAAGTGGACAATCATTGAGCTCCTCTCAAATGAAATAAGAAGTGATCTGTATGATGTAACTTTATGAAAGAATGAAATCAAGAATCAACTTTCTCTGTACACATTTGATGAGTTTAGAACAATTGTGTATGATAAGAAGTAAATAGAATTTGGAGTATTTTTCTTATTTTCTTGCGCCTTGGCGCCACTTTGAAATGTCAATAAGATGAATGAGGTGAAGTTAATTAATGTAATTAAAATTACTTCATCTCCAAATGTGCCATTTGCCAAAATCTTATTTTTCCACTTATTCGGTGATTTATAGATGAAATATTGGACTTTGAAGAATCCCTTAATGATTAAATGTAAATTCAACTTTAATTTAAAGGAAAAAGTTGAGTGATATGCATCCAAAAGTGGATATTTGTGTGAATAAGTCATCAATTCACATTCTTATAAGAATCCATTCTATGAATCTATTCCTAGGCTTCGTCGGTAACACAAAGGACATCGTCAAAATAAGAAACGATTTATTACCACATTTTATACAGCTTTAGATACATATTCTCAGTTTCTAAGTAGGGTTTTGAAAAATATAGCCAACTCACATCATTGTGGGAAAATTCAACTATCACACCTTCAACACCTTAAACGAAATACGATGTTGAACACATTTTATACATCTTTCGACACTTTTCTGGCCGAGATCGTATTGTGACGATCGAATTCAACAAGTGCTGAACAGGAATATGCATTCTCTTAAGCCCTTTAACTCAAGGTTTCATAATATAAATAGAAAAGCAGTGGCCAGAGTTGACGATAGGAGACAAATGGTAATTAATTTATTTTTTGAGGAATTCCTCGTTCTCTTGAATAATCTTCCAATGACGATCATTGCATCAAGATTACCAATAAACCTAAGTTCATAGCGACTCGTACTTCTTTATAGAAGTTGTATTTGTGGAAGCTAAAAGCTTCCGACAATTTGCTTAGAAACTCAGTCTCAAAAACTTGTATCAACGGTTGTAATTGTGGACAAACTTGCTAGATGTTCAAGGACTTGAATATCCAATAATGTCTCAGAATAAAAAAATTTGCTCAGCATATTTAATTATTTTTATATACACGAATACATACGGCATCAAAGACTTGGCGGGAAAGACCAGGGGACCTGTTATCACTGAATTGAGTTGTCCCAGACCAACTCTTCTGCTTTCTCGGACAGTTCTCTGAATAAAGTCATAACGAATCACGTAGAAACTTCTCTCCGTCAGCAGCACAATACGTTCATGCTCGTTGTTCCAGTGGTCAATACTAAAATAGGAAATATCGTGAAACCAGCTAAAAAATATACCATATAATACGATATAAATAAATAAACATGTTTAATAGTGTTATCTTATGTTATTTTTATTACTCCGGAGATCTGTATACGTTTTGTATAGTCGGAAGACAGTATTCAGCTATGAGAGCTAGACTCTAATAAAAAAACTTTTGATACAGGACAATGTCAAGCTAATTAAATTATTCATGGTTATTTTATTTTAATTACCGAATTTTTCGCATGCCAGTGTTGCGTTATTGCATAATGTTGAAAATATATGACACACTATGTGTGTTTTATACCTTTGAAGAGTGATGATGAGACCCAGGCGAGGTCAAAACTGCAGTCCATCCAGAATAAAAATCCCTTTTGGCATGCAGAAATAAGGAATAATTCACTATCAGTCCTTTATTTCCTCATACAATCAAGCGTGAATACAGCGCCTGACTAAATTAGCCGATTTCCTTGTTAAGAAGTTTTTCATTTTACGGACAAAAAGTAGGCACAAGCTTTCAGCAGTAGAATATTTTTTGCTGATTTGTCAATTGTGCACTCGAGTATAATTGCTATAATAAGCGGTACTTCTTCTTCTGGAGAAGATCATTCATTAGTTTAATTAGTCTGCTTAGTATAAATAAATAAATAATAAGCCAAACTGCACTGAAGATCTGGCCTATAGGTCTGTTCAACTAAAATTATTTTAAAAATATAATTGCTAATGTTCACCAAAAACTGCCGGTTTAATAACTTATTTATAAACTTAATATTTACTTTCTCACCTCAATCGTAAGCCAACAGGCAACATAGATGGGGAAGACCGGCTTTATTGTCTGGATCTTCTGCATGAAATAAATGTCTTAAATTCGTGTGACTATCAAAGTGACATTCAAAGCAATTATTCAAGTATACTTATCAATCTCAATTAAAAAATTAATTAGTAAGTAGTATATTAATTTTAGCTGCAATTAACTGTTAGCAATAATGGGTAATTTATTATATTTATTACCTAATTAATTAATTAAACAAGGAGGCTCATAGTAACTAAATATTATATACGAAGAAAATGTGGGTTTCATTAAATCTTAAATTCGTGTGACTATCAAAGTGACATTCAAAGCAATTGTTCAAGTATACTTCTCAATCTCAATTAAGAAATTAATTAGTAAGTAGTATATTAATTTTAGCTGCAATTAACTGTTAGTAATAATGGGTAATTTATAATATTTATTACCTAATTAATTAATTGAACAAGGAGGCTCATAGTACCTAAATATTATATACGAAGAAAATGTGGTTTTCACTAAATCTCCTTAGATATGATTAATATGATGACGGGGTTTGTCTATAATTACTCTGAGTTAGGACCGGATTTGTGTACAGATGTAAACATACATACAAACACAGACACACGGGAGTTTACATGAATTAACAAAACCTTTACATATCCATCAATATCTTAAATTTTGCCCACAATGAGTATATGTCATCTTGATTCAGTGTTATCTTGAGGCTTTTGCAAGAATGAGTCCTAGCTCTGACGATGTTCGTCATGTGTCCTGAAGGTCCTATTAATGCCAAACGGCCACGGTACAGCGCGAATCAGCCGACGTCTTCTGGTTAGATTGACCTACGAATCTCTTCATCATGTACCTTCATTCGAAAAGAAAGTGTTCATATCAAACTGAATATATTTGATAGAATGCTCAAAGAATAAGAGCAATCTTGTGTTGTGGGGACTTTCATTTAGTGTGAAAGTACACGAAGAAGAGATTCGCAGGTCTATCTCGCCAGAAGAGGATGGCGGAATCCCATTTTAATGCACTTTCTCTTCGTATCAACAATATTGTGTACTAAGTTTCTAGATAGGTTAGGAATTAATCTTACGTGACCGGGCAAAAACAGCTGGGCTTGGTACTGTACCACAATTCTTAAACTATAATGTTTACTAAAATGTTTATATTATGAGCTTACTTAAGCTATTGTTTTGACCATACTTTATCCCTCATAGCAGTGTGTTGGGCCACAACATTTCTAAAATTCATTTATTTTAGAGATAACTTGTCTGTTGTAGCTGACTTGGCTGTGAACGAAACTTTACTGGAAACTTAAGTGGCCTTTAAAAGTGACTAGTCACTACTAGAACTCCCGGGACTCGGGAAATGCTTTTTCATCCCCACGACTCGATTTATAATCCCATAAAGCTTAGGGTTAAAAGAAAATTAGAATAAAAATTCTATCC